ACCCTTCCGGTCATGTGCAAGGAGCAGGCACTGTCAATTAACCATTCATCTTCTTGTTCCTCCTTGCACAAAGCCTGAGAATTACACGGTTAGTTTAGGCATCCAAACTAGTTTGGATCCTGGAACAACAGGTGAGTTTCTATGTGATGCATGGACCGAGGTTGCAGGGACTGGTTTCGTGTCAACTTTTAAACCTAGTCCTGGGTGTTTGTGAAATTTTGGAGTTGAGATGAGCGAGCTTGCGGTGCCATAACCAGTGACCAAAGTGTTGATGTATCTGAAGTTGAGATGAGCGAGCTTGTGGTGCCATAACCAGCTGACTTCGGATACGGCTTTGGAAAGGAAACACAGCTGCGTTTTGCCAATGATGAGAGAGACATCCAGAGGATACATAGTACCCTCGGATCGTGACTTGATCAAGCAGGTGCTCCTATCACTTGTCATTACGTAACAAAATTGATCATCAAATTCAACTCGATGGCCTGCCTTACATAGTTGGTCAACACTGATGAGATTGTGTTTAAGGCTTCCTACATAAGCAACCTTCTGAATTGAGAAGTTCCTCGTAGTGAGTACACCGTAACCTCGGATGATTCCATTCGCATTGTTGCCGAATGTAACATTTCCACCATTGCAAATTGGCCTGAAATCCCGAAGGTATTCTACCCTTCCGGTCATGTGCAAGGAGCAGGCACTGTCAATTAACCATTCATCTTCTTGTTCCTCCTTGCACAAAGCCTGAGAATTACACGGTTAGTTTAGGCATCCAAACTAGTTTGGATCCTGGAACAACAGGTGAGTTTCTATGTGATGCATGGACCGAGGTTTCAGGGACTGGTTTCGTGTCAACTTTTAAACCTAGTCCTGGGTGTTTGTGAAATTTTGGAGTGTTGTGTGTTTTTGTAAAGTTACGAGGTTTCTGATTTTTGCAACTACACTGACACTCACAGGTTGAGATTTTGTCTTTTGTTTTGACACCATGTTTGGTCAGCGGTCTAAAGGAAGAGTTGTTTGGCTTTTGACTAGACCGAGGTTGAAAAGATTTGACACGAGTGTTGTTAGTTTTCTGAAAAGTTTGTTTTGAAAAAGGTTTAGCACGTGTAGATCTTGGTGCCCTTTTTGTTGGATTTGGTAAGATACCCTTCCATTTGTTAAAATTTTGACATGACTTTAAATGTGTTGGAGTGGGTAAAATACCTTTCCATTTCGGATCATCTGAGGAATAGATTTCAAAAACCATGTTTCGAAAAGACATTGCACTCTTTTGAATTGTGTCAGATGAAGTAGGAATAACTATTGAAACTGTACATTCCTTTTTGGATGTTTTCTTAGTGGTAGGGTTTTTTGAAAAATAGTGAGAGAAAACAAATTTTTCTGGACTTTTGGATTTTTGAGATCTGACATGCCTTTGGTTTTGTGAAAACGTTTGTCTATTTGTGCCTCGGGAGCGAATTTCTTCTTTGAAGGCCTTTTTAGCTAAGGATTTTGGTGAACCGCAGTCTCTGTTTTTCAACTGCGGTTTCCTAGAATCCTTTGAAATTTTGTGAAAACGTGGGCTTGAGTCATCAGAACTTGAAGATTCTGGGATTTGGGAACATTGACCCACTTCAAAATTTTCTATGGGTAATTCATGATAAATCGTTTGAAGTGTGGCAGAACTTTTGTTCGAAGACTGGGGTAAGGATGACTTGACTACCGCAGAGTAGGTCTTAATTGGGACTTCATTGGGACTTATATGAGACTTTTGACTACAGTGAGGGACACTGCGGTCTGAGGACAGAGATGTAAAGTCTTTAGAGACTTCGGTGTCCTCAATGACAATTTCTTCATCGAAAACGGATGAGTTTTGAGAACTTGAGAAAGTAGTGCCACTGATAGGAATTTGATGACATGTGTGACCCGAAACCTCAGGCACAATTTGCTCAATCACACAATTGTTGCTTAGATTGTACAGTCTACCGAAGTGAGTTTTGATATCTTCAGGAAAAGTCTAGTCATTGACTGGGAAATGAAATTCTCGGTCTGGAGGGACATGTAGTCTGTCTTTGTTGAACCGGGGTGAGGAATCCATTGCGGTAGGATATCCATTCGACCAACCCCAATTGTATGTATTGTCCACGGTTCCATTATTTACCAAATTTTCAATAGCTTCACTTTCATTGAACAATTTTTTGATTAAAAGATTTAAACGTACAATTTCACTTTGAGCTAAATCTCTCTGGTTCAAAGCTATCTCTAATTGGGTTTCACTCAACATTCTTGCATCCTTTTCTAACTCTAAATCTCTTTCTAACATAGCCATTTTGAGTCTTTTGTTATCCAGTCGTCCTCTCACATGGAACATCTCCTGGGATGCAATGTTCTTCTCATCTAAGGCTTTTTTATAGTCTGTAAGGACAGCAGCACATGTGTCATTAAGATTATCTATGTAAGGTTGACAATCATGCATGCTATAGTTTAGAGTTTGGATCATGAGTTTTACCTGTTCGACGATGCTTAGAGTTCCATCCTTTGCCATGTAGCAGTAGTTTTTGTTCATCATTGTAGACCCATCATCATCCGCAGTTGCCAACATGCAGATTTTCCCTTTGCCATTGACACTGCTGATGGCTTCATCTTCATCTCCGGATGACCATACTTGATGGTCACTTTTGACATGGGCTACGTATGCCCTTGCTTTCTCCTTTTCTTCCAGCTCTTGAGCCATTCTAAGGTAGAATGATCTGTCTTTAACTACATTGGCCTTACAATCTCTTGCAAAGTGATTCTCCTTGTTGCATTTGTGATAAACTACAACATCAGTCTTGTCTTCTGAGGGAGTACCGGAGTCAGAGGTTTGAGTAGGCTGCGGTGCTTCCTTTGGTTGGGTATTGTGAGATTGCGGTGGTGGATGAGAACTTTTAGGATAATGTTAATGATTTGTTTGTAGGTTGAAGTTACGATTGAAGAGTGGTTTGTTGAATTGTTGATTTTTGCGAAAGGAGTGAGGTGGTAGTCGGTTGAATTGTTTGCTAACTAGAGCAATTGCTTTTTGAAATTCTTCTTCATCATTATACTCTGAATCAGCTTCGTATGACTGCGTTGGAGTGTCATACGAGGGAGCGTAAGGTTGATTATGTGGAGTTTGTGCGATGAGAGCAAGAGGTCCTCCGAAGTCAGCATAGTCTTTGAGTACGGTGGATTCCTGTGCTTGCAGTTCTCCATAGAGTTTGTAGAGAGACAAGGAATGAATCTTTCTATCGCCTTGGACTATCATTTTAGCCGTAGTCCAATGTCTTCCCAAACCATTAAGGAACTGAAGGTTTGTTTCATGGTTACTGCGGACGGTGCCAACATTGGATAACTTGGTGACAATCAGGTTGAACCTTTTGAAAGAGTCTTCCAAACTTTCGCCAGTATGAGCTTTGAAGTTGTTGAACTCATTGAATGCAGTTGTAAGCTTCTTGTCTTGAGCTTGTTCTGAGCCTTCGTACAGATTCTTGAGAACATCCCAGATCTCTTTTGCTGATTTGCAATTTATGATAATATCGAAGTTGTCAGGAGCAACTCCACAGGAGATTTCATAAAAAGCAACAGCATCGTTTTCCATTTTATCGATATCATCTTTGGTGGGACGGCTCATAGCTGGTTGACCTCCTCCTAGTCTTGTTGTAGCTCCATCAGTTTGGACTGGTGTAAGGACTGGGACATGTGGTCCTTCTTCTACGGATCGCCATACATCTCTACCAAGTCTCCTTAAGTATATTTCCATTCTTTGTGACCAATGATGATATTCATTTGCAACCAGTATTGGGGCTCGATTAGAACCACCAACACTGTTGGAAACATTCAGAGATAACGATTGTGCCATTTTTTTGAAGTTTTTTTTATTTTAGAAATGAGCTTCAGTGGTATAGAAGGCTCTTCAAAAAATCAGAGTTCCGATTTTCAAAAATCAACCACTATGGCTCTGATATCAATTGTTGAGAGAAAAACTTTGAGACACACTTGAACAAACGTTAGAACAAGTATATTGCGGAATAGTTAATCTCAAAGGATCTAAAAGCTCAACAATAATATTTAGAGTTAGATGTTAGAGAGTTAGTTGCGCAAAGTAAAGAAATGTAAATGACAACAATTGTTATATCAAGTATACACTTAAGCTGATTCATAACGAGGAATGCATTCAAGCCAAGTTAATAAGTGAGATCAAACTTAGTGATTAAGTCACAAAAGACTTGCTCCGAAGAGAGGTTGTGATCGATTATGAGAGTAAGAAGAGTGAATAAGTAAGATAGAGAAGGTAACTTCAGAGATGTGTATTAGAATTAGATGCGATACCCTTTTTTTCTTACAAGAGAGTGAGCTCTATTTATAGAGACTCACAAAGATCACTAGATTACAACTCTAAGAGTAGCCATGCAAGGCATACTGGACAATAGAGTGTATTACAAAAAAGACAAAGTAAAGTAGTCTAGATAGAGACTGCGGTAGATAGAGACTGCGGTTGGTGACTGCTGATGAAGCGGCTTGACTGCGGTGGCTTGGAGGTTGCGGTAGCTGAAGTTCAAGAGGGTCACTTTTTATGATTCAATAGGATACCAGTACGATACGAAAGGTAAAGATAGGGGCAGAGAACTGACCGGTATGACTGATGTTTAGTCGACAGTGCTTACGGAAGTAAGGGAAGCTACTTCGATATCGAATTTAGAAAAATTATGCTCTGAGGAAGGATTTTCTGCTATCAAGATTTGTTATGTCGGTGGATGTGGGTATTGGTGTCATTCGATTCTACAAAAGCCTGTAAGAACTTTTCTTCTAATGTTGGTATCTAAAATATCTTTTGTAAGTTTCGTGGTATAACTAAAGATTTTGTTATCTCACAAAGAGCTGTTTGGTTGGAAATCCTTGGGTTACCTATGTGTGCGTGGAACTCATGTGTTTTCAAGAGGATTGCTTCGTGATGGGAATCAGTATTGTTCTCAGATGATGATGAAAGTAAATGCATGTCAGCTGGAAAAATGTGTGTGTTGACTAGGGTTATGGAGAGTATTCAAGAATCAGTATGGGTGAATATTGATGGCAAATATTACCAAGTTTATGTGAAAGAAGTGGCACAATGGGAACCTGATGTGGCAGAAAATGGTAGTTTTATAGAGAAAGACAACAATTCCATTGGATCGTTTTGTGAAGGAGAAGATGAGTCTTTTGGTTTAAATTCAGATAAAGAGAATGAGGAGTATGATCAAAACCATGAGGATGATAATGTTAATGAAGTGAATAGTGAAACAGAACCTGTACAGGAGGTGGGAAAAAGTGATGAGGCTGGTAATGATGAAATAGGGAATAATATTAGACCTCCAAATGCTTCCGTACCATTGGTGGGTATTGGTTCCGGTTCAGGTAAGAGAATTGTCCTTGATAACATGGAAAACGTGCAGTCAGAGGATCAAAGGAGTAGTAATAGTATCTCGAAGCCACCTGGTTTTGGGAGTAAAGTGCTCAAAGAATCTCGCGGTTCTATTCATTATTCAAATGATAATCCTAGGAAGTCGTGGAGTACAGGTTCGTTAAAGATTTTGAAGAAAGCTAATCCATCTGTGGGGGTTAATTCTTGTGAAGAGGTGAGTAGGTTCATTAAGTTAGGAAAAATCTTAGGATATGATGTGGAGAATGCTAAGGCGGACTTGAAAAACCATCTAGTCGGTATAGGAGTGCTTCAGTCTTTATGAATTGTGTTTCACTTAATGTTTGTGGCCTGAATACGTCAAAAAACGTAGATGGGTTAAGGAGATTTGTAATATTTATGTGGTGAATTTTATTGGTCTACAAGAAACCAGGTTGACTCGTGTTGACCTTGTCAAAATAAGGGCTCTTTGGGGTAATTCGACTTTTGATTTTGCTTGCAGTATGGCTAGGTGATGCTCGGGTGGTATTTTATCGGTGTGGGATACTTCAGTGTTTAAGAAGGAGAGTATTCACTGTAATGAAAATGTGGTTATTGTTGAAGGCGCCTGGATCAGGAAAAATATTAAATGTACTATGTTCAACGTGTATGCCCCTCAAGATGCTGGAAAGAAAAGGGAGTTATAGCAATATATGATCTCGTATATGTCCATAGTAAATGTAGATTTTATAGTCTTTGGTGATTTCAATGTGGTTAGATCTTCTAATGAAAGACGTGGGTGTTTGTTCTGAGCTTCGTAAGTTGCTGAGTTTAATCAATTTATTTATGAGGCAGATCATTTTGATATTCCTATGGAGGGCCGAAAATTTACTCGAGGGGATAAGGCTGGTATTAAGCTTAGTCGTTTGGATCGATTCCTTATTTCTGAAAGTTTGATAGATGTTATCCCCGATATCTCTTGTATTACATTGTATAGGAGGTGGTCAGACCATTGCCCGGTGCTTTTGAAGGAAGATCAGAATGATTATGGTCCTATTTCTTTTAAGCTGTTTAACTCGTGGCTTCAGATGGATGGTTTTTTCGATGAGGTTTCTCAAGTGGTTAGAGATTTTAGTCCAGATTGTAATCTTAATAAGTGCATTAATCTGAAGAACAAACTTAAATTCGTTAAAGCCAAGTTTACGGGATGGCAAGCTGATATGCGTAAGTTGAAAGGGAAACAAAGAAAAGAGTGTATTAACTGTTTGCTCGATATTGATAATCTGATTGATAGTGGGGTCGATTCGGATGATGCCATGGCCGAGAGAAAGAATATACTCCAACAGGTGTCGTATATTGATAAGGCGGATACTTTGGATTATGCTCAAAAGGCTAAGGTCAAGTGGGTGATAGAAGGAGACGAGAACCCTAAATTCTTACATGGTATGCTAAAAAGAAAAAGAAAATAGATGGCTATTAAAAGAGTCTCGCAGGATGGTATTTGGGTGACTAACCTAGATAGCATTAAGGAGGAATTTTTAGAGTTATACAAAAACAAATTCAAGCATTAGAAGCTGGTTAACATGGGTACTCCTAATTCTCAGTTCCAAAAACTTAATGAAGTCCAGGTGGAGTCCTTACAAGCGTATTTCTCGGATGATGAAATTAGGGATGCGGTGTGGTCGTGTGGGAGTGATAGGGCTCCGGGGCCCAACAGATTTACGTTTCGGTTCTTGAAACAATTCTGGAGTTTGTTTGAGAAGGATGTGTATGATTTGATGCGAGAGTTTTTTGATACTGGTATCATTTCGCCAGGGTGCAACTCTTCTTTTATCAAGCTAATCCCTAAAGTTGAAAATCCAACTGAGATCAAAGATTACAGGCCGATTAGTCTGATTGGGCTGCAGTATAAGATAATTGTGAAGTTATTGGCTAATCGATTGGCTAAGGTGGTAGACTATTTAGTTAGTCTAGTTTAGTCTGCTTTTATAAAAGGTAGACAGATTCTCGACAGACCTCTTATGTGTGACAACTGTCAATTTCCAGTCAAGTCAAAGTCAACTAAAGTCAACAAGTCAAGCCGGTCAACTCATCTAACCCTCGTATACTAGGGTTTTCATTTTGTTTCTTCTTAAACAACTCGCACTCTTAATGCAAAGTATCACTTAGTGTTTTCATGTGTTCGGAAACTCTAAACCCTAATTAGGGCAAGTGATGAAACTACTCGATAAAACATTATTCCTTAACCCTCGGGGGCATGTGACAGTTATAACAAGACTTAACGAGGTTTGCGAACGTTGAATTACAGAGCCAAACACTCAAAAAGGTCTCAAAAGAAGTCTGTCTCAATCTCTTTCACTCTATCTCTCCCAAATCTCTCTCCATATGTGAAATCTCTCCAAGTATGTCAAATCTCTCCCAAATCTCTCCAAGAATGTGGAATCCCTCCCAAATCTCTCTCCATATGTGAAATCTCTCCAAGTATGTCAAATCTCTCCCCAAATCTCTCCAATAATGTGGAATCTCTCCCAAATCTCTCTCCATATGTGGAATCTCTCCAACTATGTCAAATCTCTCCTAAATCTCTCCAAGAATGTGGAATCTCTCCCAAATCTCTCTCAAAACCCCTTTTGATTTATTTTAATCATTTGGGTCATCCCGACCCTTAACCGGGTCAAAAATCGCTTAAAACGAGGTTAGAACGGGTAAAATACCCTAAAAGACCCGAAACCCCCATTATAGGGCCGAAGCCTCTTAGGGCCGAACCCTCTCCGACCAAAAGCGGCATGAACCGAGGCCCTTAGTAGCCGCAGCCATCCAGCCGCAGCCTCCGAGCCGAAGCCCAGAGCCGCAGCCGTCAAGACCGCAGCCACGAAGCCGGAGCCACCGAACCCGGAACCAAGCCGCCTGCGGAGCCTCCTCGGACTGCAGCCCCTTTTCCCTTCAGATCCACCTCAGCAGCCTAACCCCACATCGGATCTAATGCTGTTAAGGCCGGAGTCACCCTCCTGACTTCGGATTTGCCACTTTCCACCCGGTTTTCGACCACGGCTCCGTTTTAAGCCCGTTTTTAATTATTTTAACGCGAGATTTTCTCCAAAAATCATATTTTAACATATAAGACCCTAAATATTCATAATTTAAACATATTTTTATGGAAATATTTATTTAAGAATAAAATCTAGTGGGTGAATATTTGAGGTGGAGTGTTGACTTTACCTTAGTGTGTAACATAAGCAACCACTCCCATGCCCACTCCATGACCAGCTATTGTCCTTCCACCATACCTGTTAATTCAAGAGTACTTTCCCCACCATTTGACCAGCCATACTCTTGGTCAAGGCTGAAATCTATCCTCTCTCCTATCACACTCTCTCATTTTCTCATTCTTCCACCAAAGATTAAACACTTTTTCTCTCTCAATCCTCTCACTAAAATTCGAGATTCAAGGGCATTCTTCCAAGCTTTTCTCCCACTTTTGGTAAGTATATTCATCCTCCATATAATTATTTCACTTCCTTTTACTCAAAATCATAGATTGCTTACACAAATTCCATCACATTAGTGTTAGATCTTCGAACCTTCAAGACATCTTCTTAGTGTTCTTGAGTGGAACACTACCTTTCTCCATCATCCATCTACTGAAATCACCCAAGGTGAGTTCGTACCCCTATATTTTCATGTTTTCTTAAGTTTTAAGGGGGGGAATACAAGTTAAAACACCAAGAACACAACTAAACTTTTCCAACAGCTTTCATTAAGAAAGTTTAACTCCATTCACGGACTGTTTTGGGTAACTTAAGCATTTTAGTTTTCAAAACCGTTTTAGGTGCAAGTAGTTCCAGTTCTTATATTTAAAATGAAAACTTGCACATCTCCATACGATTTTTCTACAATTTATGGTGATTTTTACAAAACTGCCTATCATTTCAAGAAAACATCCGAACCAGTCTGTTATTATGGTCTGTTTCACACAAGTTGGAGGTTCCTAAAAATCATGATAAAATTTATGAACAAACTAGACTCATTTTCCAAACTCTCAGAATTGACGGATTCTGATTTGGATCTTTAATGATTTTTCTATGAATTTTCTAAAAACAGAATAGAAATGGTAATTCTAGAAAAATGCTTTCATTTTCATTTACACCTTGTAACTTGTTGAGCAAGGTGTGTAACCTTCATGTGATGATATGTTACTACCATATATGTCGTTTTGTCTTGTTATATAGACATATATCAGTTAACAAATGGATTTTTGCTATATTAAGCATAGTAATTGATAAATTGTTATAAACAAATCTACATCCATTAAATACAAACATTGGCAAACTATGACAAGTATAGTTTATGCTCACTACCCCAACAAATAATTGATAAACTATAATAGGTATAGTTTATGATTCATTTACATAACAAACACATTACTAAAGGTATTACATATACAAAAGGGTTACTACCACTAAGAATAATTATGATAAACTATAATAAGTATAGTTAAGTCTATTATACCCCCCACAAACGAATACGCTAGTTATAATCGGTACAGTTAGGGCGTATATTCATTACAAACAATGTGATAAACTATAATAGTTATAGTTTATGTTTCATCTACCCTACGAACTTATTACAAGAAGGGATTCACTATCACCACCACTTTTGATAAGCTATAATATGCATATTTCATGTTCACTACCACTATCGCTATTTGATGAACTGTGATATGTATAGTTTATGTTCACCATCACCATCATATTTGATAAACTATAATATGCATAGTTCATGTTCACTACCACTATCACTATTCGATGAACTATGATATGTATAGTTTATGTTCACAGCCACTACTGCTATTTCATACACTACACTAGGATTTGGTTTCGGTCTTTGGTTTTAAGACTACATTCAATCTAGAATTGTTAGTTTTCAGCTATAATTTCTAAGTGTATATGCTAGAGTTATATAGAATCTAGTCGTGATTGACTTAGAATTGGTGGGTCCGCCTTATTTCCTGTTCCTTGTTTGGTTGTGGGCCTAGGGCAGACCCATTACATTCGACATTTTATCTAACTTTAATTTTATATAACTTATATATACAAGGAGATTATAGAAGGAAACTATAGGGAATTCTAGGATGCACTATTTCATAACATAGAAACTTACATTTCACATTTTAAGGAAAATATCGGATTTTCTGGAACAACTTAATTGCTTTTACAAGGAAAACAGTTTATTTCTCAATTAAAACTCTTATGAACTCACCAACCTTTGTGTTGACACTTTTTCAAACAACTTCTATTCTCAGGAAATTACTAAATAGGTAATCAACTGCTTTCGAGGACGGGACGCTAAGGCGTTAAATTCAAAACTTATTTTGTCATCATGATGTAATTGATTTTGAAACATGTAAACTTACTCTATGATGTAACTCTTTCAGTTATATTGATGATGGTTGTGTTTGCTTTCTTCACTATTATACTCGTTGAATGATACTATACATGAAGTCATCCACCCCTGAACGTTTCCGCCGTTCTGGTTTGGGGGTGTGACAGATTGGTATCAGAGCATTGTTTATAGTGAACTAAGTATATCGAACCATATAAGATATACAAACTATAAATGCATTGGGACTGAAAGTCTCTGATATACGTTTTCCAAATAACTATACTTTTAGAAACAAATAGTTTCTCGTTAAAAAGTATGAGCACATGCATACACACTAGGGTCAGTATCATGGTGGGATGGGACAAAAGTGCTGATTGTTGAACAGTACGAGTAGGCTTGGGGATGTATAGTCAGGTCTGGGAATGACATAGCCTGATCAACTATGTCTCACCCAGAAGTTATTAGCATATGCCCATGAATGGTCGTGGTGTTGCAACAAGTCTAAAAACTTACCAACTCTATCTACAAAGAAACATCGAGAACATAAGACAAATATTAAAGTACTATAGGAGTACTTTGAGGTACTATAACTAACTTATGTGAAAACTAAAGACCCCTATTAGTAGGTCTAAAATGACTAAGTGCATACGCTAAGGTTATACATAATCAAAGATATTATAGACTCATAATCTATGACTATTGCTCTACTTCTTGTTCCTTGTTTGGTTGTGGATTTAGAGTAGAGTCATTTATTCGAAGGTCTATTTTATCTCAGATTATGTATAACTGGTATGCACTATGTGATTATAGAAGGGACTAATAAGGATCACCCCTATAAGTAATTATAGGATTAGACGTCTATTAACTATCTCTTCTACCCATGTTCTCACACGAACAACGTGGAGGGAACCCAACTACCAAGAGACCTCTATTCTCCTAACTGGGACGATGGTGGCTAGAATAAAGAAAATCCTGAAGAGGATCCTAAAAAGTAATAGGCGAAGGGCCCGAAGGTGATCCAGAAGAGAATCCGGAGAAAGCAAAACCAAATGAAGACGAAGACAAAGGGGAAATAGGAGAAGACTCTGACGAAGAGCCCGAAGTTTGCAACACACCCTCCAGTGTCCCCCACCCCGACGAAACTTCCATGGTCAGACACTTCGATGAACCGTAGATTTGAAGAGATAGAACCTGGAACAAGATCAAACACCCCCCTCTGGAGTATAGAAAGAGGCTTCTACAACCTCAATGGAGGAGGATCAGTAGACAAGGCCCTCTTTGTCATAGTATACCGCATCGCTCACCAGAGGATACAAACACGAGCACCGGTCAACCGAATCAGGAAGGTTAGCGCTATCACCCAGATCACCGCAATGCGCCTTTGTCACCTGGATAGAGGACATGACAGGCCAGGAATCGCATCAAGGGCTTCAGATAGAAGTGACCACAACTTAAGCCAAAAATCGCAGAATAATGGGAACGTCAAACAAGCATTAGAGAAAATGCGGGATGAAAGCAGACCATCGGAGAACAAAAGTCAGAGTGGAGGCTAGGGCAATGCAGACTTTCATGTCTTTACTCTATGACCCACAGAGCAACACCCGCCACAAGTAGGGTGTACGCCATTGGCATATCGGTATAGAATTGGTCTACTAGCATGCATCCAACGACTACCCCCATATATGTATAGAGACATTCGAATCCTTCAAAATCCGGAGACTACACTATCCAAGGGAATCGTGGCACTGTCAAAAAATTTCCTTACATTAATGAGATGTAGACCTATTATAAGGACAAATTTCCTCGAACTCTATACACTAAATTATATTAAAGAAATTGGCTCGTATTAAAATTCATTGGGAATTTTCCATGCATTTCATAACTCGGCATTACAAACAATTTGCTTATGGTAACTCCAAGAATTCTTAATGTATACCTCAAGGTCGGGTGTAATTAAGAGACAATCGACTTAGAAATGGTGAGTCCGCCTTGGGTCCTGTTCCTTGTTTGGTTGTGGGCCTAGGGCAGACTCATTAAGTTCGACGGCCTATTGGACCTTAATTATACACGACTGGTATATACCAAGTGATCTTAGGAGGGGATCAGGCACGAAACAAATCACAAGTTACATTTGAGTCACTACCACTAAATTCATTCATAGGGGCTTTGTTATGAATTTCATGCAAGATACTTTTAAGTCGGAACATAATACAGAAAGGTTTGGCTTGATAACATCCGACTTGTCACTACTATTAGAAACTTACCGTCTGTTCGTCTCTACAAACTTATGACAGGACTATGCCTCCAAAGAAAAAGTCCAGACCTTCCAGCAGCGCAGCACCACCACCACCTTCGCCACCACCTCCGCAGTTTGATCCCATAATGTTCCAAGCTGCTGTAACCGCAGCCGTAGCTGCCGCAATGTCGCAAATTGGTACGAATGGTACCGGTGGTGCTGGATCTGGTACCATAAACTCTAACCATGGGGACAATACGGGGCGTACGAGGGAATGTTCCTATAAGGACTTCATCAATAGCAAACCGGATTCTTTCAATGGAAGCGGGGGCGTTATCACTCTGATGCAATGGTTCGAGAAGACAGAATCAGTCTTCGAGGTCTGTGCATGTCC